AATTAAACTTGGTGATCTCCAAAAAAGTGCTTCTTTTATATTTGTTTTAAAAGTATTTCTAATCTGCCACTTTTGTTTTTCTTTAAAATGGTCAAGCGGGTAGAAATACATGTCAACTTAAAGGATACACTTAAAATCACACAGAACTACAAAAATTTAAATAAGCATATTATAAAGTCAAAGCAAGAATATTTAATGTATTGAAATTAATTTTTCATTTATAAACTAGCTAGTCATGTTTTATGCTTGATTCATTTTTTTAAGACATCTTATGCCATCTTTTTAGGTAGAAGGAAAATTTTATTAATATAACTGATAAATTTACTTTGTACATTTTGATTTGTATATTTGCTAAAAGGCATATTTTTCTCTATGGCAAAATAATGATTAGAGCTAGAATATCAGAATAACTCCATTTGTGTTTATTAGCAGCCTAATTTAAAACCTCAACACTATCCCCACCTTTAGAGTTTTCATAAATTCATCCCTTTTCTCAGGCTTTTCAGGCTGAACTTAAAGAGTTTTGCTTGCTATTCTGTATGGGATAAGTTTGAGAAGAGTTTCAGAGCACAAGTTTGTTGCTTACCTGTGGAGGCACTAGCGAGCAACAGTGATTTAAGAATACCATTATAAAACAGAATCATAGAATCTGGCATAGAAAAGTGGTACAACTATTTTTCCCCCTTTTAAGCTTCCAGCATGTTTTACATCTTTTGAAGCAACACCCCAGTGATGTTGCAAATGCCATTGCTAAATTGAATTACAGTCACTGTGTCTTTTATTTATGGAAAGCAAATCAGCACATCTTGTGATGTGAAATGATGCTATTTGCATGCTTTTCAGATATAGCATAGCCTATATTTAACTGAAAAACTGTATTAAAACTTAAAAAATATATTATTTTCTTACAAAGTACAGATTTTGAGAGAAAGCTACATTAAAATTATAGGCAAAGCAAAATATTTAAAGAAATATCATTTTTGTATAGCTTTCACATATTAGCAGTATTACCATTTTCTTTCCAGCACATTCCCTTTAAGTGGGTTAATGTGCAAGTGGTTGCCTCCATTTATACAGAAAGATTTTTATTTTTAACATGCCAGATTATCTGCTCCTAGAAAATATGTACTGTATAAACATATCCTTTATCTTGAACTTCAGTATTTCTGTGCTTCCAAGAAGAGCAAAAACATCTGGTTAAATTACTATGTGTGAGTACAATCTGCAGGCAAAATCCTGTATGAATTGCATGTAAAATAAACCATGGCTTCAATTCTTTTTGTTTTTCCATATGTTCATTGTGACCAGTCTGTTGAAATTGCACTTCTGCTACATGTCAGCACAATGATACCTGATGTACTGAAATGCTTCTCTTCTGAATAAAATCAAGTTATGTTCTTGTTCTACAGCTCCCAATGCTTTAAAGTTTAATTCTGTTATGTGTGTTCCCGCCCAAACAAAGCCCCCCCAACCCGGAATGATACAAACTGTTGCACACCAGCGGTGATGGCTCCAAGGGACTGGCTGGACGGAGTTGTCATGTGTCTGCCTGTCTACACTTGCTGTGCAGAACATCCTCTCACCTGTACAGCAGGCACAGACAGGCAGTCGCATGACAACCCAGCCTGAGGGACAGCCGCCAGTGGGAAACCGCTCTGACACACCAGAGCATCTTCACCAACAGCTCCAGCCAAGAGTCACTCTGGATCTCAGACCAAGTCAGTAACCAAGCCGCGTACGACAACCCACCTAGAGTCAAACAACACTGCCTATAAAATACAATAAAACCCACTGCTGAAATTTTTACTGTGCTTCCTATAGTACTCTTTTCCTAGTTGTTCTCATTAACTCACTAACACTAAGTTTTATTTATACACAGCTTTGCAGCACCAGTTTTTGTTTTGTCCTCCCATTTACTTCTTGGGCATAACTCGAACATCTTGCATTATTACTGTTGGTATAAAAATCACTAACATTCCTACTAGCAACAGAAGTTGAGAACACCTTATTTGTGGCAAGTTAATTCTGTAGACATGCACAATGTTAGCCTTAGAGTAACTTCTCCCCTTTCCACTCTCTCACATCCTCACTTATTTTCATATCTCCCTCTTAAATCACACAGAATTTTAAAATTGGGAATAAATTGTGAATTTATAATACCAACTGCATCTGTCACTAGGTGTTGATAATACTATCTTTCCTATTGAAACGGAATGGAAATATTTTATGTCGAAATAAGACTAAAGGGGATTTTTCTAATAAATAAAAAATTCACATTTTTAGAAGTTCTTATTCTAGAGCCCAGCTTGCCATCCTTTGCACAGCAATAATACCAATGAAATCTGGATGCTTTGGAAAGAATCATAAAATCACATTCTCTATATGCCCTATACAAATGCCACACCACTTTCCAAATGGCATCCTTTTGTTTACAATAAAGAGCTTTCTAATTCACAAGCAAGGATGACATTCCACATTCCCAAAGACCATTTTATCCTAACATAAAAGTGGCTAATTCACAAACTTCAAATGTTCAGGTTGACCATCAAATTAACCTTAGCACAAAAACTTACAGCTTTTTATGCTACTTAACAAAGCAGCGACAACTGAGAACTAAGATGCTCAGATGTAATTTTTTGTGTGCATGTGTAGGTAATGCCTTACAATACTTCAGCTAGTATTAAATGGAATACTCCAAAGAAGACAACTATATTTGCAAGGTTAATGAATATGCTAAACCTGCATATACAACTGCCTCAAAATGATACACAATGTTTTCTTTCCTTGATTTTAAGAGACTGGAAAAGCACAAAGTCCTGGTACTGGTCACACAACAAAGTTTTAAACACAAGCAACTGTTTATATGATCAGAAATTAATTCAGAGTAGTATTTATATAACTAATAGTAAATACTGCTTGCCCACACTGTTCAAACATCAGCTTAGCACTTCCAGAATTGCAACCCTAAAAAGCATTCTTAGGCACTGATTCTCATCTCATCAAGGAATAAAATCCTCTTGTATATTTAAGCATCAATAAAACCATGTCAAGAAACCAGTAATTTCTTTTGTCATACTGATATCATACAATAAATTCTGAAATCTTTTGCTGAAGTAACTTGCTTCAAATTATGCTTTCGCAAATAAAAAATCATTTACATCCTTCTAATGGCAATTGCAAGCAACCGCTTAGATTCAGAGAGCAATTTTCATCTCAGAGTTAATTCCAGACTACAGAAAAAGGGCTCATCTTACACTAGAGGGGGTACACAGCCCAAGAGGGCCTAGCAAGCACTCTAGCTTTGTGAATTGTGTTGTACACAAGCTGGTACACAAGCTACTAAAATATTCCTTACTCAGAGGCACAGGGGGAACAAACTCATCACTGCAGCTAGAGAACAAAGGTAAGACCTGACTTTCTGCATCTTCCCCAGCTGTGATGGAGAGACTCTTGCTACTGTGCAAGGACTGCAGAAGTGACTTGCCCGAGTGGGAGGCACAGGGATCTGAACTCCCTACGACCTCACAGTGTGCGCAGCCATACTGAGCCCGGGCACAGGCCAGACACATAAACATGGATATCACTTCACACATCACTGAAGACTACATATCCTAACAGGGTGGAAATACAACAGCATGCAGCCATTTCAATGATCAGCTGAGAACAGGATGTGACAGCTACCAAACCAAGCTGAAAGTGAGAACATTTTAAGGGGGTAAAATGTAATTATAAAAATTGGAATTCGGCCAGATCAAATATTTGCTACTTTACTTCCAGAAGCCAGTGCTGTCTTTCTGAAACAGAAAGTCACTGGTCTTTTGATTAACCTAATGGTCAAGTTGCAGCTATGACCATCTTCAGAATGCATCAAAAAACAGACTTTCTGTTAAGTCCTACAGAGAATGACCTAGTAAATAAACAAAAACCAACAATAAAGAACTAACACAACTAAACAAAGGCCAGACTCAAAAAAGTAACATTAAAATTACCTCCAAAATTGCCACATGGTACCTCCATGCTGCGTCTTAGATGCACCTCGAAGTGCTTGAGATGGAACACAGCAAAGGGTGTTTATCTCATCACATCATTTATTTTAATTACATTTATTTGTACCTAAACTAAGACAGTAAGTTCCAGCAGGTTCGAGGTAGAACACCAAAAAAAGAGAGACAGCTTCAAATTTTCAAATTCATAAAGGTATCTTTGTATTTCTTTTAAATTCATCTTAATGCATTTCAATAAAATACTTAAAATTATAACTCAGTAATCTGAAGATAGTATTTTCCCTCTCGATAGGGAAAAAACCCACAAGAGTTTTACTGTAAAGCTGATAGTGCACATAATAATCCCATTTTAACCTTCAAAAGTTAACAACAGGAATACTGTTGTGTTTTGGATAGAAAGCATAATTATTAACATTGCTTAAAAAATAACTAAACAGACTAGCAAAAAATTGGTCCCCAAAGCTGCCTAACAACATATTCAATACAGTGAGCACAACCTGGATGTCCTGTTTATCATAGAAACGCTTCTTCCAGTTCTCATATTACCTCAGATTTACTGATAAGCAGTAATATTTTTCACTAAGATGCATTTTTTTTAATTTTCAGTAGCAAATTTTGAAGTCCATACCAATTTACAGTAGATGTACAAGAGCAGTCCAAACAGGCATAGGACAATAACCAGAACATTCTAAAACAGGGGAATTTTAGGGGAGTATTTTTAGACCCCTGTGTGGAAACCATAGGAAAGGAAAAAAGGAAACCAAAAAACCCAAACAAAAACACCCCATACAACACCCTGTATTTATATTACCAACATTTCAACAGAAGTCTTAAAGGGTAAATGTTCTGCATTAATCCAAACGAAGATATTTAAAGGACACTTAAAGCCTTTCAGTTAGGTCTGTACAAGCTGACTTAGTATTTTAAGCTCGTATCAGAGGACTGAATAAATACTGTTTCTTTTCCCAGTAGAAAAAAAAGTTCTTCATTCCTTACCTCATCATCTTTATACCAGGACAGGCTTTCTGCAGTTAGAACGAACCAGTATTCCTTGGATCCTCCTTTCATGATGCCAATATTGTTTATCGTCAGCCAGCCTTTCCGGATCACCTGTGCAGAGGTGCAGTCAGACAGAAGTTCAGTTCATTACTCACAACATAATTCTGCTGCTGCATTCATTCTTTTAAATTTTAAATAAAATAACTAGGGTATTTTCAGTCTCTGGTAAACACAAGACTTTTTGCAGGTTCCTATCATTCAAGACAAAAATAGGTAACAAAGTGAATATAGTGTTTTCAGTCAAAAGGCTGGAGAAAGAAGCCTATGTATTACTGTGTTGTACTTAAAGAAAGTATGAGCACATTAAGGTTTGTGTAAATTTGAAGATATTTGCTGTATAAGATGACACTGTTAGAAGTCCACAGAACTTAATATATAACTATTCTGTTCTAGTCTAATTGTTGAGGTCATTTGTAAAGTTGGATACTAGGAAAAGTACCTAGATTCTGGGAATGTGAGTGGTTTCTGGCATGCACTGGGTATCTTCAGAAAAGCCTGAATAAAGTGACAAAGCAGAGAGGTCTTCTATAACTAACTTGAAGTCAAGATTGGAGGCAGTAAGGAGAGGTACAAGAGATATATTCCTCTTGTAAGATAGAGGAGCAAAAGAGGAGTGTAAAAAAACTAAGGCAGTGATAAAAATTCAGGGGAAAATAAGTATTGCAGAACATTATAAAATAGATACGATGCAAAGATGGAAGAACCCATAAGAACAGCATTACCTGTAAATACTAAGGCCAGGAGGCTACATCATGCAGAGAGAAAGAGCAAGGAAATAAAACTTTGGAGGAATAAGACAACTCCAGAGGTGAAGGAGAAAATAGTCATGAGAACTAGTTTATGGATCATGCAGCAACTTTCAATTCTATTGGAAGATTTATTGTTTTCCAATACATTTATGACAAAGCAAGCATCCTTCCTGTTGTACTCTAAGCAAGAGAACAGAACCATCTAGCCAATCATACATTTGCAGGGAACCTCAGCCATCCTGTTCCTCTCCACAGCAGTACCCTTTACTTTCCTATGAAGTCTTGAGATGGAAAGAAGTGCTCAGAAAAGCCCTTTGGAACTCCCTCAGCAAGTCCCACAAGCATGGACTTGTGTGATCAAACATAACTTTCCTCTTGTTTTTAGGGAAATATATGAGACCCTGACATTCCTCTCATAGGGCTTTAAAAGACTAGGAACTCCAAAAATCAACAGAGTGCCAAAGAAAAATATTGCTTACTATCTATTCCTTGTCATCACAATTGGAATTCACTCCCATTCAGCATGCATGCTCATGTAAGCTCCCCGCAAAAAATAGCTTTGGTATAGCACAGAGCAAGGAACTAAGTCATAACCAAAGAAAAAGAACAGAAGTTGCACCTGAAAAGCTGGTAAAAGTATTGATAATGCATATAATCCAAGAGCATCAATTTAATTTCAAATTATGATCATGTTTTCCCACTCACTATCAAGCAAACCACTCAAGATCCAAAAACTAGTCTGTGTGTTTTCAGGCTGTAAGAAAATTACTAAGAAAGCATTGATCTGGTTCTGAAGACTCAGTAAGCTATGAGAGAACTGGACATTACTCCTGTAGAGAGACTCAAAGGTATAGCAGAAGCAAACTGGATGACACAGCCTGTTCTGCAAAAGTTTTAAATTTTTTAATATTCATGTTTATTGAAAATTAAAAAAAAAAGTTAAGACAGGGCATCACTGCTTAAAAATTGACATGGAGCGCTTCTCCAAGTGCCAGTTAAGGGAAACTTACTGATATGAACCTGATTACCAATCAAATACTCTTTTTATTTTATGATGTCTGTTGAAGCAAGCTTTTAATAGGAAACCAGCAACATGCATACATTGTCAGTGCACTGGCCTTTAAACAGCTGCTATGGAGCAAGTTGTGGAACCAAGTTAATTTCATTTTTTTCTGTGTTGAACTACATAAATGCAACTGGAAGAAATTTCAGGAAAAATGCCAGAAAATCAAGGTTCCTCAAACACCTGAACTTAGGTCTGAAACAAGGTGAGCTGTATTTGTTCAGTAGACTAAATACTTCCCAGCAAATGTGAAAAGGTGGTTATTCCCATGTTAGAAAGAAACTGAAATAAGAGGCTATGAGAGAGGATGCTGTTGAACAACGGTGCCCTCACTGAAAATGCAGTGGTGCACTCTATAAAGCACATATCAACATACAGGAAGCATGGGCAGCCCGGCCAGCACACTACTGAAAACTGGCCTGGAGACACATCATAGAGAGGGTAAAGGATTTGAAGACAGATATCACAATGGGAATAAAGAGGTGGTTTCTAGAAGGAAACTGGTGAGAAACATGTAAATGGCATGTTCAAGAACCTCACAGGTAATGAGCACGTAAAAGGGAAGAGAAGTAGCGCTCTGCTTTTTCCTTTCAGTGCTTTCCCTCACATTCCCATAGGCTCTGTAGGACGTTAATCAGAGTAAAATTTTCTCAGTTTGACAAGAGCTCATTTATGGTAGTGGCCTCAGAACCCACAACATCAAGATTTTAAAATCTAAACTATACAAGCCATTTAATAGTAATGAAGCTTTTAATGCTTCTAATGTAGGAACCATACTAGTTGCATAGCTCCAAAAGACTGTCTTGCTCCAGTCAAACATATCTCCCCATAGATGCACAGCCATTGATGACTGGGCGTGGAGAGAAACAAGCTGACCTGATAATACAAACATCAGTCACTGTCTTGTAAAGGAAGGAATTTGCCAGTTGTTTTCTCAAAAAATCCTGTGTGCTGAGGATTAGATCCAGCTGTCATTCCCACACAACACTGCATGGAAGGCAGGGTACCAAGCTATTGCAACATCTTGGTAATTGTTTTTTCATGTGCAAATGTCTAGACCTGTTTATCTATACCCCTCTAGGAAAACAGGGTACTATGTTCTCTAAAATACCATGAACACTACAACAGATCACAATTATGCAAAATACTTGCAAGCAGTTCCAGGGGACATCAAGAGACAGGAGATGAGCTTAGTGTGCTAAGTCTCCTTTTGATTGAATTATTCCTGTTTCCTTGACATGTTTTGTTAACTACAAAAAGCTACACCTCCAAAATACTTGGTGCCAGTGTTAGGGTCAGGGGAGAGGGAGATGCTGGATCAAGGCATAAGTAGAAAACAAAGTGAGACCAAGCACCACAGTTTTACTTCCAGATAAGCTGAATTATACCTTAGAGTCTAGCCATTTTCTCAAAAAAACCCTCAAGCTATATTTAAGAAATAAGTGCCCTTCCACAGGAAATAAGCAGCAAAGATTTTGAGAGAGACTTTTGAAGAAAAAAAAGTCCAATGAGGAGTGGTTTATTGATGGTTTTTTTTTAAAACTACTGTGTTAGCTATGCTGTATAGTATTGCAGCATGAAAGATTAAAGTAGCATGTGCCATTTTTTTCAGTAGTTCATCTTCTGGTTGGTTTGTATTTAAGATACCTATTTCAATATTATATTTCTAAATGTCACTCTGTGCAAACCGGATATTAGCGACATGAGTTATGAACTTCAGGAAGGTGAAAAATATGGGCATTGCCAGAAGCTAGTGAAGACAATATTCTAACCGGTAGTTGGGACTCCATGTACAGGATGAACAAGAGATGACACAGTTCCTTCCTTCAGAGTCCCGATACCTAATCTGGATGACTGCAAAATTAAACTTAGAGGGTACAAATGCACATGAACAAGCCAGAAGGAAGTAAATTTCTGATAGTTCAGCTGCACAAAGCCTGAATCATATCTGTTGTTCTAATTCTCCACCAATTCACGGATAAACAGGAAAGTGGGATTTGACACAATAAGTATATTTTATGTATTTCTGCATTATTAATTCATTCCATTAAATCAAATAAGATACTTGGTAAATAAATACATTAGAGAATCAGAAAGTGTTCCATTTCTTTAAAAGAAGTATTTGAAAGATGAGTGAGAGATAAGTGAAATTGACTGGGTAGACAGAAATACAAGTGTGAAAATCTTAAGACTGGCTACTGCCACCAGCAATACAAGCAGCAGCACTTGCCAAGTTACCATGACCTTCTACTGAAGCTGTGTTAGGTAATTCCATTGAAATAACTTTTGGGAAAAAAAGTCCCAGCACTACTCTATCTTCTAATTGCTGTCAAACAGCATGTGCTACCAAAGAGTAAGCACATTGAGAGAATAAAATTGGCAAAAACTACTCTGTGAAGCACCCTTACAAGCTTTTGGCTCTTTGGGTTCAAACGTGAAAATTCATGTGCTAGAGGCGAAAAAGGAGCAACAGATGAGAAAGGAAGCTCAGTGCAGTATTTTACTGGGATTTGCCAAATGTCAGAGCATAAACTGATCAGATCCATTTGGATACTGAAAATAAATGAGATGGTGTGACACCACTCCCCCCAAAATCACTGCACAACACATCACAGAAGTGGCTTAAGTCCTACATACGTCTAAAGAAAAATTTAGTCTTTACTGAGGCAAAGCAATCAGTAGTGAAAAATTGAAATATGCTTCCAAATGTAGTTAAGTAAAGATTGAGGTGATTAAGTCAATCATGTTAACCTAGAAAAGAAGTATAGTTAAGGACCATGTAGAACAGCATTACTTCTTAAGTCTTGATAAGGTTAAAATTCAACAGCACATGGCTCATTTGATGACATCTCAAAATTTAGTATCATGCGGTCATCTATGGGCTCCACCTCTTCTACAGAAACACCTGCATTTCTTATCAAAACATGTTTTTCATGACCACCTCACTGACTGTGGCACAAGTTCCCATTTCCATCTACTTGCTTAAAACAAATCTGTAAACACATTTTTTCCAGGGTTGTGCAAGGTAACAGGTTTAAGTGTATCTGAAGAAAAGAGGCAGCAAAGTAGCTACGATGCAGGGTTAAAAAGAAAAAAGAAAAAGAAAAAAGAAATAGAAAAAAGGGGTTACTATGGAAAAAGTTAATTAGCACAACAATTCAGGCCAACTGATGGGGTCTGAATGCTGCTTGTGTCCAGAACAAGTTAATCAGATTGTGGGCATAATGTTTTAAGAGTCAGGTCGAACAAAGCCTTCAAACCCAACCTCCAAATCACTTGGACAGTGACTGGAAAATCATAGTTCAGAATAAGCCTTTTCTCCAATTACAGGGTCTTCTTCAAGCACTGCAGTATGTTTTGCTGCAGACATAAAACACAAAATGAAATTTAATATAAATTAAACATGATCCTCTATAATTTGAGTATCTTGCATTCTCACACACCAGGGTATCAATTGGGCACATGGAGCAATGACACCTTCATCTTCAAAGATTTATCATGAAGAGGAGCTTTAAACACTAAATTTTAGTCACCAAAACAAATCTCAACACACAAAATACACAGTTAAGAGTCAGTCAGCTTTCAGGAACCAGATCTTGCTAGTGTGCCATGTAAAACCAAGCATTACACTGATTATTTCAAGCAATTTAGAAGACAGACTAACCTGTGGCTTAAAAAGAAACTTTGTGCAGTCAGGTCAAAACCTCAGGCGGTAACAAAAAAAAGACAAACAAAAAAGGCCAAAAATTAAGCATGAGAGGATAAATTAGTAGTAGAGGAAAAAGGAGCATAAACATGTTAAAAGGAACTGGCATTATACTTCTTCCAAAAATTATTATTGTGCTCATCTTACTTCTGAGATACAAAGAAACAGTTAATAATTATCTGCATCATTCCAGTTCACAGGTAGCTACAAAAAAGAAAAGCAATGGATTGCAAATGAACATCCCATTATTTTGGAAAAAACCTAATGAACTTCATCTCCCAAGAGATTAAATTCACCTGCCACTTAGTCCTGTTCCCTTTATTGAACATAAGTTTAGTTTGTTTTTTTGAAATGATAACTAATGAAATCTGATGATATGGCAACAAACTGGAGAAACCTATGGATTTTCATCATACATTTTGCCAAAGAATACACACGATACAGAGTTTTACTTCTTACACCTAAACATCACTAAACCAGGAGTGACTTGTTATAAAATTAACCGCTGTTTAGACAATTAATTCTAATTAGTAATATTAAAGGCGTTCACGTATTTATTTACTCATGAGATGGAAGGATTAGAAAACAATCAGTTCATGATATATTGATCCTCCTGGTGCTATGAAAAGAATGCTAAAAAAGGCTTTAAATATTTCTAAGTTTATTAATAAGACTCACTTTTTCTCTCAAAAGGAATTCCTTTACATGAACAAAATACGCAAACAGTACCTGTAACCCATACCCATCATGTTCATTTATGCAAGCATTAATGTTTTGTTTCAGTTACCAGAAATTTTTTTATCCACCTTTCAAAAAGGTTTACTATAAATAGAGGCACTTACATCAGATAAAAACTGCTTTCCAGTTATATAATAAAATAAACACCAATTAGTAATTTTAGTTTGAGAAACTCATTAAATTATAAATAAATATAAAATTATTAATGTTATTTCAAGTCTTCTACAACATTTTAAGTTACACTAGTTCATACTTGTAACAGCAGGTTAGTAGAAGTTAAGTGATGAACTGCAATTATACTTCGTTGAGGAAGTGTTATAGACAAGGCAGTTTAACATGAAACAGTTCAGCAGCAAATATTCAACAGATCAGTGTGTTAGAGACAAACTTTGCCCTCCGAGAAGCTAAATGAAAAAGCAACAATAAAGCTTACAGAACTTAGCTCGTACAATTTGCCTTGAAGGCGGTAGATTGGTTCCCTGAAATAGCAAATTGCAAAAATGAAGTTTTATTTCAGAAACATTTTCTCATTCTTTTCAACCCCAAACAATAAACTTACAAACATCTGTTTATTATCTTTAAAATAAAAGGTTCAGCAAAGTCCTTTGTACCAAAAGTAATGAAGTTTTAATATTTAAAACACCAAGTTTTTTCTCCACTTCTTTATAGAAAGAACATTCACTTAATTAAAAAATCATTAATTTTGTGTATTTTTTAAGAGTCAGATAATTGGTCCATTTTCCTTTTATGGGACACTCCAAAGTGATGACGGTTGTTGTGTTTGACACATGTTCCAGCACAGCTAGATAAGAAGGAAATCCTTCCTCAGAGGGGAGAGACTAGTCTTTGAAGCCATTACAGTGTTTAGACCTCTCATTTAGTCCAAACCATATATTACACCAAAATGCCACTCATGCTGGTCAGGCTCTGGGGGACCACCACATCCAAGTTAATGGATTAATTTAACTAACACTTAAAAAATAACTAGCAATTTTTTTGGTAGAAAGAAGAGAATGGGTCTCTGTTCCCCAAGAGATTAGTAAAATTTTAAAAAATACTAGAACTCATCTATAGCAGCAGAATAGCCAACTTTCTTAAATGTCAGGTTTATCACCGTAGTGATATAAACTCAGTGGTCACCTTGGAAAACCTTTACCTTTCACCTCCTGAACATTGTTTTTGTTGCACATAAAAACATCAGAAAGAAATTAAATACTAGTAAGTATTTACAGAAAATTTAGTTGTCTTATTTTTACTAGATTTTTTTCCCTTTTAAACCGCATACTAATTCCAGAACATTTTTTGTTTTAGACTTTGCAAAACCTTTAAAGTGAGCAGAAACCCTCAAAGTTGTAGTATTTTCATTATTTTCACCTCACACACACACAAAAAAAGGACTGATCCTGTGAAGTACTGAGCACCCCTCAAAAGAAAAAGCAAAAGAAAGCAAAGCCCACAAGCACTTAGCATCTCGCAGAATCAATCCCATATTCTTATGTAATAAATAGAAGCCAACAAGTAATTTCATTAATGAATCTCAGTGAAAATGCTAACTAATCAACCAGTTATTCTTTGTTTACTTTGAGAGATATCTACGGTCAACATCTTTGTGAAGTCAACTGAAAGTTTTCAGAAGAGATAAAAGCAAATCTGCTTTTCTTTGCTGAATTGCCCCTTCACTGCTGTAAAGTTTTGAACACATAAGAAATCATAAAACGACCATGACAAAGCACATACAAGCAAGTACTCACCAGTATTTTGGATTCTGAAATTCATAAGTTCGCAGTTAAGAACAAAATACATTGATGTGTAACATGAAAGATTCAATTCACTAAATGGCAAGGGAGGGGAGACACTAACCAGCAGTGCAAGCAGTAGCCAAAATATGAAACAAGAAATTATGATAACAATGAAAGTCAGGTGGCTCTGAAAAATTCAGTACAACAATGTGATGATGACATATTTTACATATGTTTGAAGCAGAAAAGGAAAATGATACACTTAGAGCAAGTAAACACAGCCAAGAAAACCAAACAGCTTGGATTAACTTGCACATGCCATTATCCATTCTCTGTTAGGTGCCTACCTTATTTCCCACTGCACTTTTGTTAACCTGACTGCTTCTTTGTTGGGCACTAAGGGAAGCAGAGGAAGAGAGTTATACTGAAGAAGCTTGAACTAAGCCAGTTCCCAAGGAATAGATTTTAGCAGTAATAGTTACTTCTGATTCCCCGTAGACAGCTAGAGTAACAAAGAAACACAGCAAAACCATTGCATGTGTGTGCATATTTCAACTACTTTTTCTTGCAGTATAGCAACGCCTGCTTGGATTTGCCTGCTTAGGACAGAAAGGACATGTGCAGACAGTTCCTACTAATCATCTCCTCTGTAACAACATCCTACTTGGATTGGTAAAGGTTACTAAAAGCACAGAGAAATTATGGCTTATGTGGGTAACTTTGGAAACATTAGCTTCTATAAATATTCAAAAGAGACAAAAAGCAAGCCATTTCTGTTACTTAGTGTAGTACAACAAAATCCTCCCCTGCTGGAGGCTCCTCAATAGCTTTGTCTTGACAGTTTGTTTTGGATATTATTCTAATATTTATATGCACTTTGAGGGTGTAAATGTAACCGATGGATGAAGCCATCACAAAGCTGGTTCAAAAGGCTAGACCCATATAAAAAAGGAGCATATTTGAAATTAAACCATATTTAAAATATTTTGCTCAATTCTTGAACTCTGTAATCCTAGTTTCTGAAACAAAACACACTTCTGTCTCAAAAAACATAAAAGTTGCCATTAATTCTAAAAGCATTTGCATGATGTGGTGGTTTGTAAGTGTTAGGCCACAAAATTAAAATACTGCTGGAAAGAGTAAGAAAACCATCCAGAGAACAGGCTTTGGCTACTCAACCACCAGAGCAGTCATTGGTGACAGGAAGTTTTGCTTGGATTAGATTATACTATTTCACCAGGCATTGATTAACTGAAGAAAAAAACCATACATATTAGATCAGCTACAAATACTGCTCTGAAAGATTAAGAAAGGAAGCTGTGCTTGGATCAAAGCCTATGGTCCAATCCTGCAAGTGTTTTGTGCACAGCTGCTGTTCCAAAGATTTGAAGAAGCACCAAACTCAGCCCCATCCCAATTCTGCTCCTGCCCTTCAGACCATGCTCTATCAAACCTAGCAGTCTGCATGCTGTGAGATGATCCACGGGATATTTATTCCATGTGCCTGATTACTGAGCTTAACTCCCAATCACCCGTATCTTTTTGACCAAATAACATGGCATGTCTCTGGTGTATCATCTGAGTTACATAAGCCTTGGTGCATAAATTATGATTAAATAACCTCACAGAAAACGCAAGCCTAACTCCTCACCAATTCTGTTCTCTTGTTTGAGAATCACACAAGATGCTTTTATTGGAGAAACACATATAAGATGGCTTTAGGAAACCTAGTTGTCATTCTTTCAGGTTGGTTTTGGTTTTTTTTAAATTTTATCGCCTTAGGATATCTGCTTAAATGCCATGCACAGTGGCTGGGGATTTCTAGATCTCAACTAGCAAAAGAGGAAGCAGCTTTCCCAAGAAACTGAACTTAGGTACTGCAACTCCTTGTAAAAGACACAGAGTGAGGACCACAGACTGAACTACAGGCCATAGCAGCAGCATCTATGAGCAGGATTTTTCCAGGGGAGAAATAGCTCCAGATATACTCCAGAATCCAAGACTATAAAACATGAAAGGTCCTGACTTAACACAAAGGCAAGTCTTTTCACAATGAAGCAAACATTGGAGCAGGCTGCATAGAGAGGCTGAAGAATCTCAGACTTTGGAAGTTTTCCAGATCTGATTGGAGAAAGCCCTGAGTAACCTGGTCTGAACTCAGCATGACCCCTCCTGAGCAGGAGGTTGGACTATGTGACTTCCCAAGGTCACAACACACACCATGAATATATATGGTGTTTTTAGTAGGCTTTTTCCTGTCAGAAAAAGAAGAAGAGAAGTAAATAACAGGCAGGTTGTTATCTTGACCTCTAGAAGGCCAGCTACCATTTCTACAACATCCTGTCATTTGTCAAGAGAACTGATAAAGGTATCTACGACCTGCAAACACTTCTAGAGAAAGTTGGTCAAACTAAACACACAAACAGATCCTGGCTTTGCCTTCTCCCCTCTCAGCTTACTGAACTCCATGTTTTAAACCCTCAAGGCACACTGCCAAAGATGTAGACCTTCCTTCACAGAACGCTGTGAATAGACCATAGTATAATACATACTGTGGTGCCAAACTTTGTTGCCAGCTTCCTACATGGATAAAACCTGTTACGATTCCAAACACTGTTATGGAAAATATGGCATGAATATGAACTGAAGGAACATTTATTCTTCAAAGAGTGAAGACATCTTTAATGTTTTACTACTGTCAAAATGTTGGTATGAAGCCCCTGAGGCACAAATTGCTGGAAGCTGAGGGAGAATGTTCTGGAGAATATTCTCACAGCCTTTTCAATTAAGTAAGTAGAACGTCAAACCAGGCCCTGCAGGGCATTCTGCTACTATTATTCTCTACAGCCAAACAGCAGGCACACTTATAATTCAGTGACATCCATTACTCTGAGCTGAACTGTTTCACACAGAAATAACAGCTCCCAAAATATGCATTAGAAACAATGTGGAAAGACCACCAATATTATACATTTCTGTGGTGCTAAAATGGATACAGTGAAGGCACTGGCCTTCCAAAGCTGCTTCCTAAGATGCATGTGATTCCAGACTAAAGCAAACTTCCGCTTCAGTGAAGCCAGTCTTGTGAACTGCGGTAAAGAAACCCCTACAGGTGGGACACAGTTCAACACTGTATTGAGAAAGAGCACTCTCCTGCATATTTGGGACTTTGCAGCTTGCATCTTCATTTATGTGTTCTGAACTTCGTAAAAAAAACAAACAAAACACAACTAAAAACATAATAATATCTTTTAAACAAAGCTTCTATATATACATACTTTGCAAAGCCAATGAAGTCTTCATGGTTGGTGTTAATGTAAGAAACCTGGATATCAATCAATAACAGCACCTATTAGGGGAGACAGGAAAGCAAAAAAGGATGGGCAAGGTGGAGGAGAGAGATTGACAAAAAAGAACAGAGAAAAGAACTTTTGAGTTTTCTGCAGTACTGAATATTGCTTTTGTAATCGTTCAAGCCAAAAGCAGCAATATTTTCTAAATCCCACCACTTCTGTTTGTGTGCTTGTTTAATAAGCGAGGCTATAGAAGCGCTACTCCCTCTTATTTTTTTCCTGACAGACCTCAATTTTCACTATCTTGGGCCTTGTCCCACTTCATTAAGATCAATCACACATGACCAGAGAAAGTTTATTAATATATAGCATAGCTCTACATTTTGCAATTTAAGCAAAATTATATTTGTAGCAATCCAGCCAAGCCAACAAGGAACCTGGAACCTAAGATCAGGGTACCTAAATTTTCCTTAGGTACCACAGAAAATAATAGGTAAGTTAGCCCTGGCCCAGAAAATCTACAGTCCAGGTACTAGACAGCCATTCTGGTGCTCACATTTGGCTTGACAGATGGACTAGTCAATGAAATAACAGAATTAATGGTTTGTGTACTTATCACTTGCCAGTCCTTCAATAGCCCACAGACAGAATTTGATTTGAACTTGATAATCTAACTCAATAACCAAACTCGGCTGGGGAAAAAAATCTAAGATAATAAAGAAAGCTCACTCTAACCCTTGAACAACTTCTTCAATGTGCATAAGGCTGCACTTGCCCCCCATCTTTTCAGACTTCCATTTTTCAGCAGGGAGCAAGAAAGAAATCCATTGCTGCCAAATGGTAGAAATTAATTTATTCAAATATACAGTTATTTCTGTACAGTTCCTCAAATATAGCATCACTCCCAAATTCTTCACAATTTCCAGAAGATATTAGGTGCCCCACTCAGAGTAAAAGATTTGGGTGCAGATCGGGGAAAATATCCTCACTAGCATTTTGATTTATGAAAGACAACTGCAAACAGCATAAATAATTATGTGAATACATGACAATAACCTATTTAACCAATTTTCAGCATTTACAGAAGGCTGGTATTTTGTGCTTAGTTCTTGGAAATTGCCAGGTATGTGCACACAATGAAGAACAGAATGATAAAAATAAAAGACTCAAGTATTCTAAGTAATTAGTATCTTTCAAATTTTGAAATAACCGAGTGTGCTAACTAAAACTCCCCGCAAGTACCAACCCTAAATACAATTTTTTTAAAAATTATTTTTAAGACTACACGCACAGCACAGATTACAGGAAGAGAAGCAGAACAAAATTTATTGCTTGCACAGGGACAAGACTAGAGAGGCAGGAGTCTGGAACAATTTAGGAGCTCTGCCTAGCCCTTCTTCCCCAGATTTTTCCGTTGTCACACACTGCACTCTCAAGACAATAATTCCTGTTTCCACTTCCAGTGGATTTTCTCACATGTAATCTAAGCTTTGAATTTTCCTGGATTCAGAGTACTTAGCTGGGTGATGAACACCTAAACAAGTTTCTCTGAAATTATTTTTTTTTTTAACTTGAAGGGAAAACTTGTCACTCCTACGAAAGTCCCAAGTACAATTGCTTGTGGGCCTCACTATAATTAGAACCCACGAGATGGCTATGTTAAAAAAAAACAAACAGAGAAAGTAGAAAAAAGGCTGTGTGTTTCTGTGTGCATTTGTGTAATCATTAGTCAATTTCCCACAAACAGCTTTTGTGACACAGCTAAGATGACACACTGTGGAACAAGAACAATCAATGCTACTTTAAACCACCAATCCTAATCTTGAAAGGCCAGATTAGATTTTCTGTAACAATTCTAGTCTCCTCTGTCAAAGCTTAATGGTAAAAGTGCAATTTCTATCCACCTATAAAATATGCCGACTGGAGAGGAGAGGGAAGAGGGAGGAAAGAGGAAAGGGGAAAGAGGAAAGAGGAAAGAGGAAAGAGGGAAGAGGGAAGAGGGAAGAGGGAAGAGGGAAGAGGGAAGAGGGAAGAGGGAAGAGGGAAGAGGGAAGAGGGAAGAGGGAAGAGGGAAGAGGGAAGAGGGAAGAGGGAAGAGGGAAGAGGGAAGAGGGAAGAGGGAAGAGGGAAGAGGGAAGAGGGAAGAGGGAAGAGGGAAGAGGGAAGAGGGAAGAGGGAAGAGGGAAGAGGGAAGAGGGAAGAGGGAAGAGGGAAGAGGGAAGAGGGAAGAGGGAAGAGGGAAGAGGGAAGAGGGAAGAGGGAAGAGGGAAGAGGGAAGAGGGAAGAGGGAAGAGGGAAGAGGGAAGAGGGAAGAGGGAAGAGGGAAGAGGGAAGAGGGAAGAGGGAAGAGGGTATCTTCAATTGTCTTATTGTACTTTGTACATAAGAATTTTCCTCCTTCACATACTTTCCCCAAGCTGCTAGATCTATTTATCCTCACCTGATTCTTGGTTTTCTCTTCTCTTTCACGAATGTAGCTGGCAACAATTCTTTCTGTTTCCTCACACAACCTTGGATATGTTGCCAACTGAAAAGCAAAACCAATAGAAATTTACACCTGCAGGGAGGCTTCAGCAGAACACACACATGGGAGCCTCCAGCTTTCCTCTTTGGAAGAAAGTAATTATTATAAATGCTTGGGCTAAAAGTTAACTACACTACAAAGCAAGCCTTACTTGCTGTTAATGGTCATATTTCAGGGGGGGGAATAAAAAAAAAAAAGAGCTACCTAAACCTTTGGATTATTTCTGTGCTTTTGGCTCTATGAAACATCAAGGAAAAAACACCTTGGACATGAGAACCAGAGTTTATCTGCCTTGGGGTGAGGTTTCTCCATGTCTCTCTCTCCTACTGTGCCTAATTCCAGAGTGGCACCTTAAATTATTTCCAACTTTTTTATCCTTTGAAGGCTCCACCTTGTGGCAACATCTTTACATCTCAATAATAATACTTGAAAATGTGAACAGCAAAGCACAACCCTAAATTTGAGAAACAGTACTGGGAAAAGAATCTAGACAGCTAATTCAAGTGACATATCTTCCAGAGTTTGACAAAAGTGAAAAAACCTGGACACTTTGCTCAAAATATTACAGTGAATCTGCTTCTCTATGATCTTTGTCAAAAAGATTGGCACACTTTTCTGTTTTGGGGAAGAGCTCCTTTGCCTGCTCATGATTACAAAAAAAAATTTGCATTAGTCAGTAAAACTGAGGTTTCATTCTAAAAGTATACATCAACCCAAACACATACTTGAGGAAACTCAAATACTCACAGTAATGTCATGTTTAGTTTTGATTAAAGTATTTCTTAAATTATTAGACTTGCAGGATCTTAAAGTTAAAAGTTAATTGGTGCATATGAATTTTTCCTTTCCCTGATAGATTTGAGACCTTTGCTCTAAGAAAGTTTCACTGTTTCTTTCTCTTATGAGCACTGGAAACCTTTCAAGTACAAGATTTTTTTTTCTGATTTACACATCCATGGAATTGCTGCCTATGTTACATTTTCAGTACCAATGAAAACATGGTTTTAAAAAGGAACCTGGGGGCAACTCTTAACTCAAAGAAACTCCAGCCCTTAGGTGCATATATACATACATTCAAAACACAGGAAACAAAAAATTAATATTTACAGCATTGCATTATTTTGAGAGTTTTGCAGAAGTTGGAATTACTTTAGTGTCTTCCTCTGTACTAGATCTAGTGACTAGATCTGAAATCTCTTCTAATACTGTAAAATGCAACACAGGCTTTATATTATCTAGTATGCTACGATATTATACTTACATTACCAGACCTATTTGTAATTTACCTTTTTTGTGCACTTCTTAACAGTGTTGATTAACTCTTGCATCACCAAATCCACACTTTTTAAGCAAGGTCCTTTCAGCTTGACTATCTGTTTTTTAACAATGGCTTCAAACGCCATATCTGGAGTAAATAAACCTGTTCTGTGGACATAAAACAATATGTAAGACAGAAATTAAAACATCATGCAAAGAATATCTCTTTACTGTTTCTGCTACAACACCAGCTGAAATTTTTTTCCGTATCAAGACATAAGATTTTCCTTCCAAAACTTATGATTTTTCAGGAACGCACGCTTAACACAACCGCAGGCACTACCAGAAAAAATGTAACTCATTTTTCCCTGCAAAATAATTTTCCAGCACTTCCAGGTAAATTAAATTTCTTGGGGCAGATCAACTGTTTGGCCCAAAATAGCTACCTGAAAAAAAGAGGTGTAAAGGAGTGGAAGGAAAAAAGTCAGCTGCTGGGAGCAGTGAGTTAGTAACATAGTCCAGCAGTCAATAACCAGTGTTATGGAGCACTTGCCTGATACCATGTATGTTCTTGATGGCATAACTTATTTCTCTCCGCAGTTCTTTCTCGTTGAATTCCATCTAGAGGAACAAAAGTGTAGGAGATCATATTGGAAGAAGGTTTTCATAACACAGAAACATTACCTCTCACAATATAATTGGAAAATAGGGAAGTTGAACTGGCAAAATATTAATTTATAATTATGCTAAACAAAGCATAAGTATTTTAAAACATTTTAACGCTAAGGCTACAAGCAGCAGTAAGAATTGTTCAAAACTATGCACCATTCCATTGCAGATGTCCCAACAGCTGGAACAATTTTGCAGAGTTGATAGAGTAAGCCAGAAACAGAATTTGGAAGATGTAACTTTTGTTTTTTCAGCCTGGTTTCCTTAAGTGGTGCAACTTCTGTAATTATGGCCTGTTTATACTCCCCTTCTCATTCTACTGTTTTCCAAGCAAAGGTAAGGATTGAGTGATCTCAGTTATGAAGTTATAAAGCTTTTCTTTAAGTTCCTTGAAAGCTAGCTAGCTGGAAGAAAATTTAATGTTGTCACAAATGAAAGGGTCATTACCACAAGCTTATTTGTCACCTGTTCTGTTGGACTACTAGTTGACGTACCACATTTGAACCTTGGAACCAGCCAATGAAAGTTAGGGGATGTCAAAGCATTCAAACATAAAACAGGTGGAAATTAATCTTAGAAGAAGCTCAAACGAATGAGGACTAGAGATACAGTAGAGTTCATGGTGACTGGAAGCTGAAGCCACTGCGGCAAAAGAAATACCAAATATGTAACACAAATTCATGGGAAACCAGGTTTCATTACTTCACATCCCACTGGAACCCTGTTTATTCTGTTAGCCAAAGGATAGATAAAGCAAGAAAAGATGTATCAAGAGGAGAAATTTTATCTCCAAACAACACTTTTGCTTCTGCTCCACCTTCACCTACGGAAGTGCAGAACTGAAAGCTGCCTTTGGTTTAATGCATTGAATACAAGAAGCAGATAACACAGAAAATGACTATTTTCTATAACTCCAAGTTTAATAGGTACTGACTACTTGAACACAAATTTACCAACTGTAGTTGCTGGCCTGCCCTATTTAACCAGAAGGAAGATGCTATTTGTGATAAAACCATAATATAAGACGGAAACAGTATGAACTTAGACTATAATTATATTGTAATTCCTGTATTTCAGAATTCTTACCATGTCTCAGTATCCAAAACTAGAAATGAACGCAAATACCTCAAGTATAACTTAATGTAATTTCTCCCATAGTTAAGAGCATGTTCTCCCAATAAGATTTTATCTTGGCTTTACTACTGTGCGTATGAACATAAGAATACATAAATAAAACACAAAACACAACAACAAGATGGATAAATACCTTCACTAGTTCAAAAGGAAAACGTTCATGGAAAATACGATTGATTTTGGCACCTCCTGAAAGTTCTAGTGTATCAACCTGGTCTCCTGATCCTTCAATTCTTTTTTCAAAGTCCACTGAAAACTGTTGTACCATCCTAAATTTCAAAGGGAAGAGAAAAATGAACAAACAACCATTTAACCATGTCAACTACCAACTGTTACTTCAGTACTAGGTGACTACTAGTGCATATTAAAACACGTTTAGGAATTGATAAAAGCATCTATAATCAATGGCCCAGTTGCCAATCCATAAAATCCATACCTACACAAATATCCCTGCACCCTTCTCTTTATACTTTTTCCTGGTCTGCTTTCTTTCTTTTCTAGGATTACTTAAATTAATTTTGTAACAATTCTATTCAAATTGCAGAGCAAATAAAGTGTTCAGTAACATCAAGCACAAAATTCTTCAGAATTTGCATGCAGAATCCTTAACTGTATCCTAACCTTTAAATCTAAATCCATCAGAAAGAAAGAAAAAGAAAAAAACAAAACAAACCTACACGGAGTGGAAAAGCAGACAAAAGACTAGACACTCACTGCAACAGGGCTTTTGTTGTTCTGGTTGGATCTTCTGGTCTGAAGTTTTTGTATACCTCTACTTCATGTTCTATAGAAAGCAGCTGGCCCTGGAGTTTGCTTCGAAAGGTTGGCAAGGTATCCCGAATATGATTGGTAAGTTGCTAAAAAGCAAATAAAAGTCCTTTAATAGTGTTAATAAATAAGAAAGCAAGAGCACAACCATTTTCTTTTGACTGCCAAGCATTATCAGCCTTGACCTGTGCTAGTATACCAGTGTATTTTCTTTTGATCTGTGAAGCAATGTAGACTGCTGAAGAGCAATACAATATCACTTTTGCACACACATTATAAGGAGGCTTAAAAAATTCCTTTGTCCTCTCACTCACTGAGATCTGTTACTACACACACATTTAGTTACACACCAAAAAAATGATACCTGTTATATACATAATTTAAAATTCTCTCTCACCCCTTAGCACTGATGCCACCACCCCCATTTTGTTGTTTTTCCTAAGGATGTTTCCCAACTCTCTATATACTTGTCCAGCATGATGACTCCTTCACTTTACAGTCACAAGGAAATGTGGGACAAAGAAAAGATTCTGAGCATCCATAGCCCATTGAAAATAGAGATGGAGGGAAATACAGATACATATGTCCCTACTTGGCACTCTCCCATGATTGGCAAAAATCACCTCCACATAATTTCTGCTCCCTTGTGCAAAGTATACTAAAAGGAAGAGATTTTGCCCTCTTATTAATGACTATTAAACACTTGATCATACTTGAACTGAAAAGAGGTTCTACCACGCAAGACTATCAGTTTTCATTTTTTGAAACATATCTGAAAGTACTGGAAAATAAAATGAAGGAGAGTAGAAAAAGGTTTAACAGATGTGTGTTTAACATACATAATTTACTTTTGCACATATATATTGTAATGTGTTTGGAAAGCACTATTTATGTCTTACCTGTGCCATAATTTCTCATGCATTGTACCTATTCCTGGTCAAAACCAAAGTGGATTTCTTGCATTATGCTGCAAACTCTCTTCCCAGCCACTGTCAGACAAGCTATGAATTAAGAATGTCGTACACCAAAACACATAAACTCAAAATAAACGTTTCCAGCCGACAGAGAGGCACAAAAACTGAAACCGGCGTTTCCCTGGAGCACCACCTTGTGGATACAGCGATACTGAAATACTACCTGAAACCACAAACACTAATAGGTCCCTATTGTCTTGGGGACAAAATTTACATCTTCTTCCCATGTGTTACTGCACACAGTAACAGCAACAGAAGACCAACAGTTCATACTGAAATAGGTAAATTTATGAAACAGTTCACAAAAAAGTTAATAGTACATTAAAATAATGCAAGTCAGGACAGATAAGTCAGTCCAAAGGTATATGCAGCTCTTGCTTCAGTCTCAAAACTAAGACATGTGGAATAAACTTTAAATACATAAAAAGGGACAAAACATTCTACATATAGACAAAAACTGCAGGATACAAGCAAGTTCTTGCATTCTGCTGATTATTTTTGTTCTGAGGCACCAAAAAAAATTTTAAATGGCATTAGCTTTCTTTCTGTGCAAGTCCAGAGCATGTCACGACCTAGCTGTCAAGTTACAGCTGCAAAGTCCCTGTAGCAAGAAATTAGGCAGGCCAGCCGCCTAGTCTCCTACCTTAATCCATAACTTTTCAGCAGTTTCCAGCTGCTACCCGCAATGGATAAAGCAGCATACTGGTTCTATGAAAAACTACAATAAAGTGTAGATTTTTGAGGTTAAAGTACAAACATACAGTGAAGCCTCTGGATACATGATTTCTGAAAATAGTTTTTTTCCTAATTTCTAAATTTAAATTCTAAAAATCCCATTAAACTAGAAGAAACGTGATAATTTTCTGTACCTAGACACGCACAAGTATATGGGGCCTGATGGAATCCATCCTAGAGCGCTGAGGGAGTTGGCAGGGGAGATCACTAAGCATCTCCACCATTTATCAACAATCCTGGTCAACAAGGGAGGTCCCAGATGACTGGAGGCTGGCTAATGCGATGTCCATCTACAAGAAGGCTCCGAAGGAGGATCAGGGGAACTAAAGAACTGTCAGCCTGACCTCAGTACCATGAAAGATCATAGAAAGGTTCATCTTGAGTAAGCTCACACTGCAAGTGCAGGACAGCAGGAGATCAGGGCCAGTCAGCACAGGTTTACAAAAGGAAGGTCTTGCTTGACCAGCCTGAGCTCCTTCTATGACCATGTGACCTGTCTACTGGATGAGGAGAAGGCTGTGGACACTGTCTACCTAGACTGTGGTAAGGCCTTTGACACTGTCTCCCCACAGCATTCTCCTGGAGAAACTGGCAAATCATAGCATAGAGAAGTGTACTCTTCACTGGATAAAAAAACTGGCTAGATGGCTGGGCCCAGAGAGTTGTAGTATATGGGGTCAAATCTAATTGGCAGCCGGTCACCAGAGATGTCCCTCAGGGCTCATTTTTGTTCAATATCTTTATCAACAATCTAGATGAGAGGATTGAGTGCACCCTCAGTAAGTTTGCAGACAACACAACACCAAACTGGATGGAGTGTCGATCTGCTAGAGGGTAGGAAAGCTCTACAGAGGGACCTGGATAGGCTGGATCAATGGGCCAAGGCCATTGTATGAGGTTCAATAAGACCAAGTGCTGGGTCCTGCATTTTGGTCACAACATATATTTGTTGTTCATATTCAGTATTCAAGAAAACAGGGGAGTGCAGAACTCTCAGTACAAGTCAGAAACTGCATCTCACAGTAGATTTTTGCATGCTAGATGTAATATACAGCTTTGTTTATTACATTGTGAAAATCAGGCAGGAAAGGCAGGAAAGAATAAGTGATGTTCACTGACCAACATTCCTTTTAATAAGGATTTCATATGGTTCTATCATTGTAAAAGCTGCCTGTCACAACCAAGGCTTCAGGTGTTACCTGGTTTAGAACTTTTTGGAGATATGGTGTTCCCATCCGATCTGCCATGTGCCTGTATGCTGGGTGGGAAAGAAAGAATTTCCTTTCTGCTAGAAGAGCTGCCTTTATGTCCTTCTTCCCATCAATGTCTTTCTGGCTTCTGTTTACGACACCAATATAACCTAAAACAACACAAGACCAAGGTGTAAGTCAATGCAGCTATTGCCTGAGCTTCTGAATTCATATTAAGTAGGATTAGGTTGCCTCCGTTCAAATAAAACTTTCCAATTTAGGCATTTCAGATATTGTTTACAAGTACTGTAATGACCTTAACAGTGTCTAAATTGTTCATCCTGTTTATGTACAACAGATACAGTTCCTTCTAAATTACCAATTCAAATACAGAAATATCTGAAACTTTGGTGTACTCCAAAGAAACCACTTCAATAATAAACAAACAACTGAAAGAAACCTCACCAAAAAACCAAAACACACATACAGGTCTACATAAGCGATACTAACAAAATACAAGAAAAATGTCTTCTCATTTGCCAGACCAACATGCTGCATAGGAAGAGATGGTGGTTTCATCAATAAATTATAACTACAATCAAAATTCTTGATATTGTTAACAGTATGAGTAACTGTGGCAGTAGCTGCCAGAACAATCATGTGGAAGATTTCTGGAAGGGGTCAAAAATTGGTTTACAATGAGATTACCAAAGCCCTGGTGCTGCCATATACAAAGAAAAAAAAGATTCTTTCGTTGCAAGCAACAGCACCCTGGCACAGAAGAAAAGATTGGCTAAACAACTTGTGCTGACATTTCTCGCGTCCTCTGGAATATGCAGTGTATTTTCCAGGGCCAAAAAAAAAAAAATCATTTTACATGCAGGGTATTTTTAGCACAGATGCCTTTTATGTTTGCTGAACAGATAACAATAAAATCTAGGAACTCACCAAGTCCAGCACAACCTTTGATTCACCTCCAGGACTCCCAAACACCACCCTTGCCCAAACCACCTTATGGATTGCAAAGAATATATATGGGCAACTGAACATTCTCACCTCTACGAAGAGGGAATAGTCTGTTTTCTAGAATTTCTCTTGCATCTGTTCCTTCATCCATCAGATCCAATTTTGTGATCACACCGATGGTCCTAAGACCTGACCGAGGTGGACGCAGGAGGAAAAAGATAGTGAAAAATCATTTATATTCAGGAAGAATAATTACATTTAACTATAGGTATATGACATTCTCAAAGCTGGTATCACACAATACCAGCTACAACTGCAAATTGCAGTATGTCTGGAAAAGAAGAGATCATCATTGTCAGTGCTGAAATGTTTTCCTCAAACCTCTTTAACAAGGCTCAGCATTCCTACAATACGAATGCATAAAATTTATTATTCTAAGTATCCAGAAATCCCATCAGCAATATAGTCCATTTTAAAAAGTACTAAAAAAATTCCTAGATAGACATGGCCCTACTTACTTACAAGAGATCATGACAAAATTTAAAAAATATATTTACAGCATCATTACCTGAATGATACTGAGCTAACAGTTATTGTGATATTGAAGTCTATATGCGAATATATGCATACACATCTGTATTATATATTATAAAGTGTATTTCACAAAAGACTTGCTCTATTACTTCAAATCACGTTATTACATTTGAGAACAAGAAGTGCTTAAGTTCAGTCATGCTTACCTTGAGGGTCCACTTCCTTAGCTAACTTCAGTGCATCAGAGTTGGCCAGATCAGTGTTAGCTGGAGTCACAGCCAGTATCAGACAGTTTTCTCGAGAGATGAACTGCATTATCATGTCTTTGATCTGCTGCTCAATATCTGGAGGCTGATCCCCTACGGGCACTTTAGTGACTCCCGGCAAATCAATAAGAGTCAGACTTAATACTATATGGAAAACACAGGATCATAAAGCTGGTTAGCATACCAGACATGTCTAAAGAGGTCTACACATCTATGGCTGCAGACAAATTCTAGTCACATAACCCCCAAATCATTACCTTTATAGGTATATAAATATTGTCAATGGTTCAAATAAAATGCCTGACAATCTGAGAAGTACACATTTCCCTGTTGGTCTTTCATCTCTGAAGATATAAATACTATTTAGTATTTTAAACATTACAACTGGCACAGGCAAATCATACTTATACTGAATATCCTTGAAGGCTCTTAGACAAAGAAATGTGGTTTCCCCAGTTTTTTCTACCATCAGGCATACAGACAACAGACCATTCCCATTTTATCTTTCAAATCAACCCAAAACAGGCTTTTTTTTTTTTTTAAATACAGTCTTTCTCTGACCATACTTTCAACAGCATCTCAAATTGAGAAATTCAAAAAAAGGCAATAGGTAGCCTATCTGATGCAGCAAAATAGTTATTAAGGGGTTGTGGGGTATGTTGTTTGGGTTTTTTTGTGGGGTTTTTTGTTTGGTTGGTTTGTGTTTTTTTTAAAACATTCTAACTTCTTAAGAAAAGTAAGAAACATTTAAAAGTTTATCCATTAAGAAAACTAGAATGGATGCCAACTAGAAGCATCCTAAGTTGTTCAGCCAGTACTAGGGTAACAGGGATTCTTTTAACCAAATGAGAAAAATGGGATTCCTAGAAAGGAAACACCAGTATATCTGGGGTCTGGCTAATACAAACAACAGTTGCTGAACTAGAAGACTGATCCTAATAAAACATAGTGTTAGGTAGGAAATTTTCTCCTGGAGTCAGCATATTCAACAAACAAGCTTTGAGGCAAGGCATTTTGTTTAGCTATGTCTATGCCACATCTGTATAGCAGAGAAGGGAACAGAGACACATGCTTAGAGCCACAGCTCCTCATGGGATATCAAAGGGAGGTTCAGCATCTCTTTAATTATCTCTCCTTTTATTTTAATCCTTCTGTCCTTTGATTCACAATGAAGACATCAAATGAGGTGGTTAGATAAATGAAGTGCTTCAGCCAAACATACCACTTTTCTCCTGTATCCAAGACAGAGTGAATGCAAAATATTTTCTCTAGATTGCCTTCCTTAAATGGGGCAGATGGCAAACAGAGGAACTAACTTTGATCTGTACTGGGGGTCTACAACAGAAAGCAGCTTCAAACACCATTGTTGTCTAAATATATTTTTAGTGACAGGGAACAGTAAGCAGCCAACAGGGCAGGGAGACATAATGACTTTCTAGATCACTGATCAGAGAATCCATCTGGAGGAAAGAAAAAAAGTTTTGACACTAACTCTCCCATCTATTATATGCCTTTACTAGTGAGCTGCTCTCTAATGGTCTATGTACTGGGGGAGAGATTGGTTTCATTTAGGTGCGGAGTCAGAAGGTTTTAAAATCATGAGAATACTAAATGGGATAAAGCCTGCATTATGCCCAGCTCTAGAAGCAACAAGTCTCCACCATAGAATGGTTTCATAACACAGGAAAAGTTAAGGATTCTTCCAGATACATAACCACTTTTGGTTAAACTCAGATTTTTCATCCCAGAAGACTTCTGATCAAGCAATGAGAACAAAAGGAGCTGCCTAGACAGACTGAGCTACACAACACATTACATGACAGAAATACAAAGTAGAATTATTTTACCTACCATGTGGAGAATATATTCTTAAATTAATAGGAATTGAAGAAATGCCTTTGTTCACTCCTGTTATTCTATCTGTTTCTACTTCAATTTCTTGTCGAACTTCATCAAAATCAGTAAACTTCCTCCCTTTGCAGTGTAGGAATTCAGCATATTCTGTGAAAAATATCAATAGTAACTCGTATTTTACAGATTTAAACAGCCATTTTCAAGACCCTAGTATTCTTCAGATGTGTCTGCACAAAAGCGTGTCATAATGCATATCAGGAAAGCATTATATATGAGCATATGCTATAGATACGATTGCACAGATGAAAAACAGTCCACAACAAGAAAGGGTTAGTTAAAAAGTCAAGTTGACTGGATATGATTTACTGCTTTTATCTTCAGCATGTCATCTTCTGGAACAACCTGAAAGATTCAAATAGACACCATTTACGTTAATAGAATAAGGAACAGATTATGAATTAGATTCTGAGTCCTCATCTGATTGTATTTGTCTGTAATACATCAACAAATTCAAGAAAAGTAATTCAAGTTCTGTATCATGAAAGATCATTAAGCATTTGTTTTCAAAAACTAACAGCCCATGTTAAGCATCATTTTAACAAAAGAGTTATGTACATTTTTACAAGTTCATAATTAAAAGAAGATCACATAAAAATCACTCTAACATTTTTAACACAACTCCTCGTTTCCTAAAATCTTACTGTAGTCTAAATCCAAACTATGCTTAAGTTTGTAAAAGCTTTTCCAGATACAGCTGTGATTTTGCTGAAGTGGGAAAACACTATTAATTCCCAAGTCTTCATGCCATAAAAGGACATTAAGTCAGAATCACAGATAAATACAGTCTAACTTGCTAGATTTTAACTTGACACTAGGTCCCTGTTTCAATTCATTGGTATTGATTACTGTAACCTTCTGATTTCTGTAGCCCCAGAGCTACAATACCAAAAGCACATCTCAGGATTTTAAAACTGGGATTTCTTCCTACAAAACAGAACACAAAAGCTTATCTCACATAGCAAGTCTGTAATCAGAAATGATGACATGAATGGTAATCACAGATACAAGTTAACATACTGTCCCCACAGGTTCTAAGCAGTAGGACTGGAGAAAGGCTGATCAAGGTTGTGTATGTTCCAGTTCATTGCCTCCTGCAAACATGGCCTGATCTCAAAGTTCCATTTAAATGTTTCTTCCCCAGAAAACCTTTCTTGGTACAAAGCCCTTGAACACCAGGGCAAAGTGCTTGCTCGGTACCCGAAGAAAGAAGAGCAACTCGGGAGACCTCATCCAAGAATACGGATTAATAGAGGGCTTTAGGTATCAATACTGAAGTCTGTTTACCAAAAGTCACTTTATTACTATTGTTGACAGAGCTGAGGAAAAGAGTTAAAACCACACATGAAACCCCAACAATAGTTACTGAGAAAAACAGCAAACACCAACCTTTCTTTGCTACAATGTTATAATCCCTCCAGACTCAAAGTGCAACAGACCAGGAAATACACATATCTTGTGAGACAAAAGTAACAGATCTCTTATTTCAAAAATAAGACAGTACCTAACAAAAACTTCTATCTCACTTCTGACAATTTAAGAATTCCAGAATATCTTTATATTCGTTTTTAGCTTTAACAGCAAAATGACAATGAATGTGGGGTTTTTATGTTTCCTTGTCAATTCTTAATTAAAACCAACCAAGGATTATTCAAATATTTTAAAGTGAAAGAGAATATGTTGTACTAAATATTTCAGTTTCTCTTGCACTTTTAAGGATTCACAATTGTAAAATTTGTAATCTCAAAGTTAGAAAATAGCTACCTACTGAAAAAAAGAGCTGACAAATGGTTCTTATTTTGTCCCAGTTCTTCATGCACTTTTCCTGGTACGACTGAAAATGTTGGGGTTTTTGTTTTTAATTTGGGGTTTTGTTGTTTGTTTGTTGTTTGGGGTTTTTTTTCAATAGTTCATCAGATTTTCTCAGTAAATTTTTCAAAATTCAGTAATTAATACTTGGTGCCTAATTGTAATCAGCTAACTAACTCAAATAAATGAGAGTTAAGGAAGTTTTTCTCTTTGTTCCACTTAATACTCAATAACAGAAACAGTCCCTATCTGAAGTGGTTTCAAGATAATTCAAATGAAAATGTTGGCTACTTTTTAGCTGTGTTAGTATTTATCAATAGCTCTTTCCTTCCGGTGACATCTGTGGTCCCCCTAGTTCTGAAGGAATAGGCTTTACAACGGTTCATAACCTGTGGTGCCACGCACAGCCTACGGAATAAAAATTCAAATGAACAAGCAGTGCTTTGTTTTCCTCCTTTCAGCCTTTAGTCTGTCCTTGGCTATGGTGCCTTTAGCCAGGCTGGGTAAGCACATGCTTCAATGCAATCTTGCATTTTCAGCTTTCATACATGGAAGTACAGTAGGAAAACATTTTATTTACATTTTTGTGGGAATGAACACAAAGTCAGACAAGAAAAAGTGATCCTGCCTAATGTCTGTTTTCAGATAAAAATTTTCTGTATAAATCTTCAGTTAAGAAAAAGAACAATTAGATTTAAAAAAAACAACAACATTGTCCTCACATGTAGAATACTTTTTTTCCCCACACTTACTCAAAGCACTTTGGATAACATCAATGTCACCCAAACAACAACAGTCTTAGCTTCATTGAGTCATTTCAAAGCCTCAGAATACTTTTCAAATCAGTGATTTCAAAACATGCAAAGAAACTTCATGAACTAAAATACATCACCTTTTCTTTGACGATGGATCAACTTTTTCTGAACAAATTAGATACAGCTAAATTAATCTCTTTGTACCTTAGCAAATCAATCAATAGTTCCTCTTGGATAAGACAAGGGCTTTTAATACTGCCTCTCCTTTCAATCTGTAATCCCTATTCTAATTCTCCATTTCTCTAGCCTTGCTCACATGCTGACAATAACATTTTCTAAACTCAGGCATTCCCCTTCTAACCTTCAAGCAGCAAGGTTACAAAAAATAGAAGCACTCTGGCACTGCCTGAAGAAGAAACAGGAAAGTCTGTCAATGCAGAAGAATTAAAAACACTAAAAATACCATAGATCTGATGAGAGTTTCAGATTGTTAGTTAATAACTAATTACAGATTTATTTTTTCTGTCACTTTTCTGATTAACTTCTTGCAGATAGGCAAATACAGAGCCATTTTCCAATCTTTCAGCAAGGGGTTTCCATCTTTTCTGGTATCACCAAGCATCAGCCTGGGATCAAGAAAACAAAACCTTCCACACAAAGCCACCTGTAAAAGCAAGTATTCATGAGTACAAATAATTTGTACCAACATGAGCTGAAGTCCATTTCCCATTTTGATGGGAGAACTATCTGAGGCCTCCAGCGCATGCTGCCAGATCTCAGCAGTGACTGCTGATCTACTTCAGTTACTCCAGGCATTGTTACCAGTGCAGACACAGAGCACGATTTGCAGTCTCTGCAACGTTACACCAACACCTTAATGACAGGTTTCAGACCAGCAGCACTAGCCCCACACATCAGTCCTATTTGGGTGATGAGCCTTTCACTATCTGAGGAAGAGGTCACTACCACTTTTTGGGATACACACCTCCCACATTATTGGTCTCTACACCATTCCTGTTTGTCATCTGAATGAGTGCTGGCAGAGAGCAGGATCTAGAAAACAGTTCCCACTGTCTTCTTCTACTCCCTGCAAAGTGCCTAGTCTCTCCTCTTCTATTAGCTCTCCGGCACCTTTCTAGTTTTTATCCTAGAAGAATGCTAAATGTCTTCCTG